AAATGGATTACGAGAGAGCTGCTGCGGGCGGACCCTGGATGATCGGGGAACATTACCTCACAGTTCGTCCCTGGCGGAAAGGTTTCGACTCTAAGTCTGCTGAAGTAGCTTCCACGCTTGTCTGGGCAAAGCTTCTTGCGCTTCCTATCGAGTACGTGAACAAGGAAGCCGTGGAGAGAATAGCGTCCAGAATAGGGAAGCCAGTTCGGGTAGATCGTGCCACACAGTATGGGGAGCGTGGTCGGTTTGCACGAGTTTGCGTCGAAGTAGATTTGACAAAGCCCTTCTATCGAGCTTTAAGATCGAGGGACGCAAATATTATATCGAGTATGAGGGCCTCCATAACATCTGTACTGAATGCGGGAGGTATGGGCATGCAAAAATTTCATGTCCCTCCTTGAAAAGGGAGGCCACACCTACCACAGCTGTTTCAGAAAGCTCGATCCCCATACCTACCGAGCCTGAACCTATCTATGGGGATTGGATGGTAGCCAAGTCGCGGAACCGCAAGAATAAGCAGCAAGTGGTGAAAGAGAACACAAGTACTCAGGACATGCCCAACCTGGGTGCGGCCATCACTCAGGGGACGGGCTCCCGATTCCAGGCTCTAGTAACCGAAGAACAGGAAGGGGTGGTCATGGAAAGTGGCAGTGAAGGAGGGGATAGTGTGAAGCAGCCATCCCAGACGGAAACATGCGTTAATAGGCCGAACCAAACATCTCTTGTGGTTGGGCTGCAGGCTTCAGGGGTATTGGCGGGGGAGACTAGCCTTGTTAATGTCCCAGTTGCGCAGGCGGGGGCGCATGTTTCTTTCACTGCCAAGCCGGTGTCTGGCAACAAGGCGACGACGGCCATGGTGGTTGGGAACGCTCCGCAAAAGGGCAGACCGAGCAAAAGTGATGGCCAACGTAAACCGACTCCCTCAACTAAAGCAAAGCAGCCGGGAGGAAAGCAAGCCAGGGAGGGGCGACAGGCCCATAGCCTCCCAACTCGGAACGATACAGCGGGGATGAAGCCACTGCCCTTGCCGAGCCATAATGAAGTGTTAAATACGAGCAGCCAGACTTCAAAGAGGATGGAGCAGGGTCTCCCCAAAGTTGATCCAGGAGGGCAGGCCCTCTGCGATAGCCATACTTCGGAGGAAGCTCTGTCCCGTGCAGAGTCTACTCAGTAACGTCAGCCTAGGGAAGTCCCTTTCCTTTGCTTATTTTATTATGTTAAGTATCTTAGCCTGGAACTGCCAAGGGGCAGGCAATGATTCTTTTCTTGCGTATCTCTTTTCGTTTTGTAGGCCGGCTAGACCGGACCTAGTTTTTATAGTTGAACCTCGTATCAGTGGTGACATTGCACGGGGCGTGATTGATCGAACGGGTTTTGATGGTCTGTTGCGTGTTGATGCTGTTGGTTTTGCAGGAGGCATTTGGGTGCTTTGGCACAAATCTGAACTGGAAGTGACCCAGCTTTCTGCTTCAGCCCAAATGATCCACATGAGTTGTCGGAAACGCAAGCTGGGCAGTGAGTTTGTAGTTGTTTTGGCAATCTACGCTAGCCCCAATGCAGCCCGGCGAAGGAGTTGTGGGAGGAGATCCGTGAAGTGTGCCAGCGTACTAACCAAGCCTGGCTTCTAGCAGGTGATTTTAATTCCATCTTGGGGCCTGATGATCGAAGAGGTGGAGTGCCCTACCAGGAAGCTCGAACCCGAGCTTTTAGAAGCTGCCTGGATGATTGCGGGCTGCTTGATGCGGGGTTCTCAGGGCCGAGATTTACCTGGCAGCGAGGTGGACTCTACCAACGTCTGGATCGAGCAGTGTACAACAGGCGATGGTTGACGAAGTACCCCCAAACTTCGGTCCGCCACCTTGAAAGGATTGGTTCGGACCACCGACCAATTCTTATCCAACCAGAGGCAGCGGGGCGAACCAGCAGAGGGGACCGACCTTTCCGCTTCCTAGCACCTTGGTTAGCTCATGAAGATTTTGAGCGTGTTTTGCATGAGAACTGGCAGAGAAATGCGAACTTGCCAGAGGCCCTTGCGGACCTCTCTACTGAACTGCAAAATTGGAACAGGCTGGTTTTCGGCCACATCCAGGAGAGGAAACGGAGGCTGGTCACCCAACTCAGGAAACTCGAGGTGAAGAATGAGCAGGGGGCGAGCCAAGCTTCTTTGGAAAGGGAGAGCAAAGTGCGACGGGAGTTGGAAGATACTCTTTGGCAGGAGCAGTTGCTGTTGTTTCAGAAATCGAGAGTAGTGTGGATCAATGAAGGAGACCGTAACAATCGCTTCTTCCATCTCTCAACTCTGAAGCGAAGACGGTTCAACAAGATACTGGCTCTCCGTGACAACTCGGGGGAGTGGATCCATGACGAATAGGCGCTTCAAAAGCTGGCGATAGAGTTCTTCCAAGATCTCTATAGAGCGGACGCGGCTGGTTCCTGGGAGCTGCCGGAGGGATTTCCTTGTATTGAGGAAGACACTCTGCGAGGGCTGGAGCGGGACATTATTGGCGAAGAGGTCAGCCATGCGTTGAAGAGCATGGGAGCTTTTAAGGCACCGGGGAAAGATGGGTATCAACCCCTCTTTTACAAAAAGTGTTGGCAGACGGTGGGAGGAGCCCTTGTTGAGTTTGTTTCTAGGTGCTTCAGGGAGCCGCGGCTGATCCGGACTGTTAATGAGACACTACTTGTGCTTATTCCGAAGAGAGAGAGTCCGGACTCGATGAAAATGTTCAGGCCCATAAGCCTGTGTAACGTAGCCTACAAGACCTTAGCGAAGTGCTTAGTGCAACGGATTCAGCCCTTGATGAGGAAGCTGGTCCATCCGTCTCAGACTAGCTTTGTCCCGGGTCGCCATATCTCGAGTAACATTGTCATTGTTCAGGAAGTAGTCCACTCCATGGGGCAGAAGAAGGGGAGGAAGGGGCAGATGGTCCTCAAAATCGACTTAGCTAAAGCCTATGACCGTCTCAGCTGGCAATTCATCAAGGAAACACTGGTGAAAGCAGGTTTTCCTTCTCATCTTGTTGAGGTAATTATGGAGTGTGTAACCTCGGTGTCTATGCAGGTCCTTTGGAACGGGAACTGTACGGAGGCTTTTAATCCCTCTAGAGGACTCAGGCAGGGGTGCCCGCTTTCGCCCTACCTGTTCACACTATGCATGGAGAGATTGAGCCACATTATTCAGAGTGAGGTGAACGAGGGTCGATGGAAACCGATACGGACCTCTCCGGGAGGGCCGGCGCTTTCACATGTATTTTTTGCAGATGACCTGGTTCTATTCTCGGAAGCTAGCGAGGAACGGGGTCGAGTTATCATGGGGTGCCTGGAGAGGTTCAGTTTAGCATCCGGCCAACAGGTTAGCAAGGAGAAGTCGTCTGTGTTCTTCTCGGCGAATGTCACGAGGCAGCGAAGTACAGTTATCGCCACCCAAATGGGTATTCCGATGACACAGGACCTTGGCCGCTACCTGGGGGTTCCGGTGCTACATGGTCGGGTAACAAAGCAAACTTTCAAATATATATTGGATCGTCTTGACAATAAACTTGCAGGATGGAAAGCCTCCAGTCTATCCCTTGCAGGGCGGGCTACCCTGGCGAAATCGGTGCTGAGTTCTCTCCCCACCTATGCGATGCAGACCAACCTCCTACCTATCTCGATCTGTGATGAGATAGACCGCCGGGTTCGAAATTTTATCTGGGGTTCCTCGGCTGAGGGAAGGAAAATTCACCTAGTCCACTGGGATGGAGTTTGCCAGCCGAAAAGTGATGGTGGTCTTGGGTTCAGGAAGGCTCATGAGCTAAACCTAGCTTTCCTAGCGAAGCTAGCTTGGAATTTCTTAAAAAATCCGGACGAGTTGTGGGTGCAGGTCCTCCAGGCGAAATATTTTAAGACAGTGAACGGGGCCCTAGTCGCGAAATCGATGGCTCGTGCGTCCAACCTGTGGCGGGGAGTCAGGAAGGCGTGGGCGGTGATGGAGGAGGGCACATTGATGAGCTTAAAGGATGGCATGGCTACGAGCTTTTGGGTTGATCAATGGGTGGCCCCGGGAGTTCGACTCATTGATCACCTCTTGGATGGAAGCCCGCCGATTGATCCGGCTACCCCTGTCGCTGCATTTGTTGACCGAGGTACGTGGAACCTTGAGTCCCTTGCTGAGTTTTTACCCGACGAAATTATTTCCCTAGTTGCAGGAACCCAGCCACCGATCGAGGACGCGGGGGAGGATCGCCCTATCTGGGGACCCGAGGAGAATGGGAAGTTCAGCATCCGGACCGCTTACAACCTGGCGACGAGCTATGTGAAGGGCGAGAAGCTAGCGAACTGGAAGACGGTGTGGGGCTGGAAAGGACCGGAGCGGATCCGCCACTTCCTGTGGCTAGCAATGCGGGACAGGCTGCTTACCAACAGCGAACGTGGAAGAAGAAGGCTGACGACAACGACCAACTGTGGATTATGCGATACCGAACCGGAGACAGTCCTGCATGTGTTGCGGGACTGTACCTTTGCCAGGTTAACTTGGATGCAAATTATCCCTCCTGCTGACTATCACCGTTTTTTCGGAGCTCCGTTGCAGGATTGGATCGAGATCAACCTTAAAAACGAGCACACTGGCCTTGATTTTGGCCTTACCTGCTGGTCTCTTTGGAAGACCAGGAATGATCGCGTCTTTGCAGGCAAGATCACTACGACTGAAGCTTTTTTGCAGCGCGTCCAGGCATGGATAACTGTCGTGAGGCAAGCCTTGGACAGGGATAGGCTACTTCACAAGCCTAGCCCGCCCGCTAGAACGGAGGTGGAGATCTCTTGGAAGCCACCACCTCCAGAGTGGGTTACCCTCAACACAGATGGCTCCGTTCACCATAACACAGGTCGTGCCGCAGCTGGTGGCCTGATTCGAGATCACACTGGAAAATGCCTTCGGGCGTTTGCTTTGAACCTGGGATGCTGCTCTATCACCCGGGCTGAGTTGAGGGGCGCTGTAGAAGGGCTTCAGTTGGCTTGGGATGCTGGTTTCAGACATGTCAGACTGGAACTCGACTCCGAATGTGTTTGCCAGCTGCTTCGGAGTAATGATTCTAGCGAGCATCACCATGCAGCTATTTTGGATAGAGCTTATGAGCTGCTGCACAGACAATGGGATGTTTCTATCTCCCATATTTTCAGAGAGGGTAATAAGTGTGCTGACCATATTGCCAATTGTGGCCACTCGTTTCCTTTGGGACTCCATTCATTTCCGATTTCCGATCCACTCCTTTGTAATTGGCTTTTGTACGATGTTCAGGGGATCTCCGAACCCCGGGTGATTTTGAATGAAAGGTAGGGTGCATTTGCATCCATTTATAAAAAAAAAACACAGTATTTAATTTGTGTCAAATTATGTGAGAATTGAAAAGCAAATATCGCCCATAAATAAGCAATCAAACCCACCTGTTTATAGTTTCATTTTGTTAGTCCTAATCTAAAAACAATAGGACGACCAATCAAAAGCAAACCAGAGAGGATTAAGCTTGGTGATAGAAAGCCATTGTCAAGCTCTCATCAATAAGCTGAAGGCTAAAATAAGATTATCATACGGAGTTGCTGGCCGGCGGTCGCTAAGAACTAATAAGGATGGGCTGACGGGCAGAGTGGTGATTTGGGCTTTTACTCCCAGATTGCAAAGCAACTCATCTCACTATCTGGCCCATACACACTGGAATACTTCTTGTTTTTTGGGGTGGGCCGGCCACCAATTTCCTCCTTCAATGTTTTCAAGTTCGAAATTTGAAGAGCTAAGATGGTGTGTTTCGTTTGGTGGATATCTACATATATAAGGTTAAATGAGAATTTTTTTCTTCTCTATTTTGAATTTTGTGGCCAGAGGAAAGAAACAATACGATGATGAATTAGACTAGATTGTATTTGTTGTCAATCTTTAATTAAATGCTAGGTATATGTTTGGTGGTTTGATATTTATATTTTAATTAAAATTACTTATATATTATAGGAGACTAATCATAAAATCAGAACTTAAATAACATTGATTTGAATATTAAATATTAAATTATATGTGTAATTTATTTTAGACAAAATATACAACCAAAACTTGAACCTTTGTGACAAATATAATCATTTTTTATGAATAATAACAAATATAGTTAATTAGTCCATGTAATCAATTTAATCTAATAGCATCATCAACTATGTTGACTAGATTCATGGAAATATGGAATACGCTAATGTGGTGTTAACTTACCAGTTTGGAATTTTTGACAATTTTATTATAATGAACTTAAACAAAAAAGAAAAGGCACAAAAATAAGATTCATTAGGACAATATTAAGATGGGAAAATAAATTATCCTTCCTCTTTTATCCCTTTGTTTACGTCTTCTTCTACACATCTTTTCATTGATTAAAATCCAAACCGTTATCACCTCTCATCTCATAGCACATCAAATTTCAATAAAAGATCTGACAAAACTCGACAATTATCACTCGATCGGATATTAATGAAGGAGGAACAACCTACTCTATTCAAGGTGGAAGTTGCGCTAGCAAAACAAAAAACAAAAAAGCAAGTTGTACAAGCACCCTTTAATCTATATTACCATCTCACTGAATGATTCATAAGCACCAGTCAATGAAATCTATGAATTTTTCTCATACTTTCACCAGAATTTAATTTCTTCTTTTTGCTATTGCAAGGATTTAGTAGAACAAAATCATTTGTTTGTATGAATTGATATAGATATGAACACCACATTATTTCTGATGATATTGGATATGAGAATCTTAGAAGAGTTGAAGGGGGTTGGAGAGAAAGTCGAGGGAAGTGTTATAAACCGAACAGAAAAATTAGGGTTACCGATCTGGCTGAGTCGCGGACTAGGTCGCTCTCTTTAAGGCGTTCGCGGCACTGCCTTCGTTGCGCACGGCAGACTATCAGCCGGTCGCCTCCAGGATAAAACAACCACTCTTATTTTGTTGCTCATCGATTTTGTGCGAAAACCGGAGCTCTATGAACTCACTCACTCTCTATCTCGTGTTTCTGCTCTCTGAGGTGTGTTTAGAGTGTTTGGGGCGTCTCCTATTTATAGGAGCAGAAAACCCAGAATATTCCCTCTTTCTTTGGGAATAAGTCATATTTTAATTAGGGAGATAATTACTCCCATAATTAAAATATAATCTATTAAGATAATTATTCCTAATTATCTCCATAATATTCCTTTTATTAATTATCCATCTTATTTATGTATTATGGGACTGGAAAATTAATTAGGAATTTCATTTATAGCTTTTCAAAGCTATTCATCCCAACAATCCCCCACTTGAATAGTTTTGAAACTATCTTGAGCATCAACAGTTCCATAAGATCGGGCATAAGCTAAGGTATCGCGAAGATTTGAACCTTAACGTAGTGGTTACACTTCCGATTTCATAAGGGTGACTCGTAGTCTTGAACCCTATCTTAGACAATGTAGCACACCGGATCTTTTCATTTAGTGATATTCTCTCATAGGCCGTGCGTTTATGGCCATACACGTTATCCCGGTTTAGTGAACGCTCTAGCAACTTTGTGCCTCCAAAGTTCCATAGGGAGCGGCCCCACTCCCACATTCACATAGGTGAGTCTATGAGAAGTACCCCCCAAAGTAAAGTACTTCACTCCACATAGAGTATAGATCTCATTAAGAGTTTAACTCAACCTCCAAGGCTTTGGGATTCATGCTTCACTATGCATAAACTTTTCTCAATATTACTCATGACTTGTTATTACCCATTGAACCCGTTTCTTGGGATCTCCAGTCTATCGGGTTGGATTACCATCACTTGTATTCCATGGTTCGGTAGGCATAAGTCTCATACCCTTCGTGGTATTTTGGACTTTCTCTCTAGCTAGTCCTTTCGTCAAAGGACCACCTAGATTCTTTTATAATCTCAAGTTCATCATTTCGTCAAAGAATAAACTAGATTCTCTTTTAAGTGATCCACCCTTACTGCTCCAACAGTTAGGGACTCTCTCTTCCAGTACTGTTCTCATGACGAACTTGTCGCCTCTCACCATTTGTTACGGTTCTATTTAGCAATTGTTATCGCAATGGATCAATACCGGCGGATACGGTCTTTCCCATAAGGAAATCTCTAGTAATGACCCTCTCAATCAACTTTCTTCTTTACTAGCCATTGCTAGTTCTATCATATCTGATTCTATAGTTGATTGAGCCAAGATCGTTTACTTATTTTTCTTAGACTTCCAAGACACAACTTCTCTATCGATGTTTAAAACATAGCTTCTGGTAATCTTGGAGTCCTCTATAGGATATTCTAGTCTGCATCACTATATCCTACCAATACAGCAAAACCTTTGATAAAAAAATACCAAAGTTTTCTGTTCTTTTAAGGTGTCTCATGACCCCTTTCAATAGCATTTCAATGCTTCATACTAGGACATCATGTAAACCTTCCAAATAACCCACAATGTCGGGTCTCGTGTTAATCAGCTGCCTCTTGCAGACTGTCGATGCTAGTATATTCTAACTTTCTTAGTTTATTACACCATTTCCAGTGTTATTTAATATTTGAACTAGCATCATCAACCATTTATGCAGGCATACAACTTGTATTTCTTCTAGATCTTAACTATGTAATTAAACTTATCTAGAGGAAATCTATTTCATTGTCATAGTCCCATGTAGATATCCCTATCTAAATCACCATTCACAAAATAGTTTTAACATTCATCTCATACATGAAAGTTATTCTACATATTGTTGAATAGATATCAAAGAAATCTACAATTTTTCCTCTTCACCTAAAGCCTTAGCTACTAGGCGATCATTATACTCATAAACTAAACCACCAGGTTTCAGTTTTTCTTTCTAAGAATCCATTTATTACCTAGGCTTCATTGCCAGGAGGTAATTCTCAAAGATGTCAAATCTTTTGATTTCATCGATATATTACCTAAGGCTTTACAACCAAAAGGTAACTCTACAAGTTTCTAAGTCTTACCAGACTCCAAAGATTCCATTTTGTTAATAATGGATTATCCCACAATTCTGCATCTTTATGGAAGTTCAAACTTCTAGCAGACTTGTAGGATCTTTCTTTCTTAGGGTGTAAATAACAAATTCATAACCAAAATCCTTTCGTGATTTATGGTTTCATTTGTCTCTTCTGAGTTCATACCCAGATTCATCACCCCCACTAGTTATCCATTATTTCTAATAGTAGGCAGGATATCACCCCCACTATTTCTTGATTTAAAATGGAAGTTTATTGGCATCAATGGATTTCACAACAACAATGAGTATTCATTTCATAAACTTATGTGTTTTACAATATCTTACACACTCATATGCTCTTTTAGTTATCATGTTACACTGATTCTCTAACGCTACCACATGCATGCCACATATCGAATAATCAGTGCAATCTTAATGCAATTAGGAATTTCAAACCATTTCAAATAACTAGTCATACAATCAGAGCACTCTAAAGAGCAATATATTATTTATTGTCTTTTCCATCGAGTTTACCCATATCAACATAAATCAAATCTATTGATTCTGATTCTCTAACCACATATTTTACGGGTCATTTTGCTTGGATACAAAAATTTTATTTATCTCAAGCGTTCGAGAATAATATGGGAATATGATATAAGATATTCGAATTCTTCACACAGACACACTTAGAGGAATTTATCTTATCTACTTAACCATGACTTTCTAGAGGTAGGGTTCTTTTCCACTTTCCCAGAACCATCAACAATAGTGGTGAGGGTCTTTCCCAACAACACTTTCTCCTTCAATATGCCTCAATGCATGATTGAACTTAGCTACTTTATCATATGCATGCCTTGAGGCGTCAATATCCAACCACCATTCTTCAGAATTGCCATTAAGGCCTATCACCCCATTAATGATTATTACCACCAAATTCTCTTATTTAGTCAAGTTAACACCAAGTTAAACTTGTTCTTACACTTTCGTGTCTTATGACCTAGTTTCTCACAAATTTACCAGAGAAACATAGCGTCATTCTTAGAGGATTGGGTGGTGATCTTATGGTTACCACAAAGGGTTCCATTCTATTTGGTATGGATCTGGTTCGGCTTGCTGCTCTCATTCTTGAAACTTTAATGTTTCAGAGCAGGCTAAGTGGTTCGTATAGTACTGATAATAGTTCTTACAATATCGTTATTATGGGCAATAAACCCATTCTATTCCCATATATTCTTCAATGCACGCATCTATACAAAAACATTCTTTTCACAGCATGTATTCAATTTATGCTCTAATCATCGAGGTACGTAATAT